CCCCAAGTAAGAAAATTCAACATTAAGACTGAGCCAGGGCCTGTGATGTAGCTCAGTGGTACTGTGCCTTCCTTGCAAACACAAGGTCCTGAATTTGATCCCCAGTACCTGAAAAGAAAGAAAGAGAAAAAGAAACATTGAGCCCTAAGGGCTGGGGGATTTAGCTCAGTGGTTCGGCTGCCTGCCTCACAAGTGCAAGGTCCATAGTTAGATCCCTGGTACCAAAAAAAAAAAAAAACAGCCCACATTTTGTGCCTCTTTGTGTGAAATAGTAAGATAGAAATAAATATTTAGCGTTTAGTCTCTAATTTTTAGTCTCTTAGATCTAATTGCCAGTTTACAGGAAATACAAGGGCCAGAGGAGCAAGATAAAAAAAGACACAGTAAGAAACAAAAATCCAGAATGTGGGATGTTGTATAAGAAAATTGGATTCTTTATAAAGAAGAAGAAAAATGGATAAAAAAAAAAAAAAAAAAAAAAAAAAAAAAGACAGCCCACATTTTGTGCCTCTTTGTGTGAAATAGTAAGATAGAAATAAATATTTAGCGTTTAGTTTCTAATATTTAGTCTCTTAGATCTAATTGCCAGTTTACAGGAAATACAAGGGCCAGAGGAGCAAGATAAAAAAAGACACAGTAAGAAACAAAAATCCAGAATGTGGGATGTTGTATAAGAAAATTGGATTCTTTATAAAGAAGAAAAGAAAAATGGAAATGATCATTATTGAAAGAGGTTATATGAAATATGAGTTCACTGTATTGCTGTCTGCTTTTGTGTGTGTATGAAAATTCCCATGAGAAGTACTAGAGATTCAATTCAGGACCTTGTGCTCGCAAGATAGGTGTGGAGCCACTGAGCTAAATTCCCAGATCTTTTCAAAGATCCTAAAGAGACAAGATTTGAAGAACCAGAAATAGTTACATTTGCTTTTGACAGGTAGAGAAGGAAGCAATTCAGTGGAGGAGGGACAGCCTTTTCAGCAAGTGCTACCAAAGCTAGAAGGACAAGACTAAGCAAAGAACAAGTAGAACTCTCAAAAAAGCATGCTTCATAAAAGGGAGAAAGTTATGTCAGACCTCATAAAAATTAAAATAATTCTTCAAATAATCCTTTCAAGAGTCTGAAAAGTGCTACAGAATGGAAAATATTAGTAGATCAGTCCAACAGAATTTATATCTAAATGATATTAAGAACCCCCAAAACAACAGTAAACCTAAGTCAAAAACGTATAAAGTACACTATGACATTTCACAGACAGATGACAAGTAAATGAAAAGGTGTTCGGTATCCCTAGCCAGTATGGAAATGCAAAGTGAAATGAGATACGTTGTATCAATTCATGAACTTAATCCACAATTTTGGAAAAGGAGGCCACGTTTGTGTGGGAAAGAGGGCTGCTAGCCGTCGTTTGTCACCTGATGCAGAGTTTGCAAACAAAATTCTGCCAAATGCTTCTGTTCAACCAAATTGCAGACAAATGAGTTTGTGAACTGAGGTGTCACTGTACTTCTGTGCACCTATCAGAATAGCCAAAGAAGACAAGTGATTATACAAATTCTGGCATAGATGTGGAGAGACTGGATCTCATTGCTGGGAATGTAAAATGGTACAGCGACTTTGGAAAATAGTTTGAAAGTTTCTTATAAAACTAAATGTCACCCGGGTGTGGTGACGCACGCCTGTAATCCCAGCACTAGGGAGGCTGAGGCAGGAGGATTGCTGTGAGTTTGAGACCAGCCTGGGCTACATAGTTCCAGGTCTGACCTACATAGTGAGACCCTGTCTCAAAACAAACAAAAAATAAAACAATATGTTAGGGTCAGGGATTTAGCTCAGTGGTGCGACAGCCTGCCTTGCAAGTGCAAGGTTTTGAGTTCAATCCCTGGTACCAAAACAAAAACACAAAAAGCTAAATGTGCTCTTTCTTTATATTTCAGTAATTTCATTTATGATCATTTGTCACAAGTAATGAAAATTTATATTTGCTCCCAAATTTGTATTGTGAATGTTTCATAGCAGTTTTATTCTTCATAGTTAAAACCTTTAGGTAACCCAAATACTCTTTATCAAATGGTCAGATGCTGGTATCCCTATCCCAAGGAGTGCTTACTAAGTTGTAATAAAATGGAATAACCTATTGGTTGCCACAACAATTAGAATGAATTTAAAGGAAATTAATATTGAGAAAATACTCCTTTCAGAATATTCTATACTAACATTCATAATGACAGGATATAGAAACAGATTAATAGTTGCCAAACGTTAGGAGTGGTGGGAGGGAGGAGAGGGCTTTAAAAGGGTAACACCAGGGAGCTCCTTGATGGGAGTTGTGCATCTTATGATCATGGCTACACAAGTCTACACAATGTAATACAATAATAATTCCTAACTGATGTTGGCTTACTGATTTTTATTTATATAATTTGTAACTGGGCGAAGGGTACTATCTTTGCAACTTCCTGTGAATTTATTTCAAAATAAAAATAAACAACTGGGCCGGGGATTCAGCTCAGTGGTCCGCCCCCCTGCCTCACATGTGCAAGGTCCGGAGTTTGATCCCCGGTACCAAAACACCCGAAAGTAAACAACAAAAAAAGTAAACAATAAAAGTAGCCATAACTAACTATACAGGGTTGTGAGAGTGTTTTGGGAAAAAACAATTTTGAAGTACGTTTTAGAAGGGTTGGAGATGTTTGTATGTGATCAGATTAGATTATTAGGAATTGTTAAATTCCTTATCAGTGATGGTGGCACTAGTTTGGAGAATACTGTATTTTTATTAAGGAATGCGTGTTGGGTATCTGGAATGAAGTGTTTTGAGGTTTACAACTTTCAAAAAATGTCATTAAGCGTGTATGGAGAGATAAGGCAAACAGCAGAGTGTTCATTGTTGAGCCCAAAAAAAGGATACGGGTATTCTTTGTGTCATTCTTTTAACTTTCCTGTACGTTTGATATTTTCAAAATAAAATGTTTGCGAGGAAATTACCCGGGCTCTCTACAGAGTACTACTTCGCGGCTCCCGCCCCGAGTGCGCCCTCCAGGACCGCCCCTGCCTGCCTGCGGACGTCACGCCCGCCTCTCTCCCGGAGCGCTCTAGCTCCCTTACTGGCCCTGGGACCGTGGACAACCACCGAGAAGGGTCTTCCGAGATTCCTAGAGAGGCCAGCTGGAGGCCGGGAGCCGGAAGCTCAGTCGCGACACTTCCGTTCTGCTCATTGTTCTCTCGCCGGCTGGAGTGGATCTAGGTACGACCGCGTCTTCTGCAGAGCCGGCCGGCGTCTTGCACGGTAAGTTGTGCTGGGCGCTGGACTCTAGGAGCTGGACGGGCTCGGGGAGGAAGAGGAGGCCCTCGCGGACCTGTCCCTGAGCCTCAGCGGGCTGTGGGCCGCACCTCTGCACGTCCTGGCTGCAGCCTGCAGGGGTCGGGCCAGGCGAGGATGCGCCCGGCCCGCAGCTCCTGGGAGCCTGTAGTAGAGGGGACAGAACAGAAGGGAAACCTGTACTGAGAGCGCGTGTCCCTGGCGGAGGTCTGCTTAGTGTCCCCCGAAGTCCGTGACAGCTTGGAAGGCGGGTCTGTCGCGTGAGCACCAGGTGGGACGGGTGTACGGACCTCCTGGCCACAGAAGAAAGAATAGCCCTGCAGCCTTGAGAGCTGCTGCAGGAATCTCGAGAGTCAGAGCATGCAGAAGTTCTCTGTAAGTCAAACAGGAAAAAGAATATGGCCACTTCAGGAGCTGCAAAACGGGTTCTGTAATGTTTGGCACCTTTTTCTAGTAAAACACGTGAGCAAAAATAAAAATTTAAATCTCCTAATAATCAGCTAAAATAATAAGATTATTTGACTCAAAAACTAAGAACAGAAGAAACCCTGCTTATTTAGCGTTGATCAAGGCGTCCCATTTGTGTTGGTGTGGCATGATGTGCTTTTGGAAAGTATTTAACAATACTTACTAACTAAATGCTTTACACTAGTGATTCCTCGGTTTATTCTAAGAAATAACGCAACAGGAAAAAAAAGGTATTTGCACAGATAAAATAACTTTAACATTACTAAGAAACTGAATGGCCAAGTATGGGGGCACTTGCTTGTAATCTCAATGCTCAGGAGGCTGAAGCAGGATAATTTAGAAAGAAAAAGGGAGAAAGGCAGAAACTGGAAAAATTCAAGAGTTCTTTTACTAAAGCAGTGGTTCATAAATGGGATATAGTAAGTGATAGCCATAACTTAGACTACTATGCCAGAAAGAGAAATGTACATAGTATGTATTCACCCAGACCATTGTGAAATACGGAGTTCATATGGAATATGGAGTTCATTAAAAAAAAAAAAAACAGCGTAGGTTACTGAACAATGTAAAAATGTTACCTAAAGTATGTTTTTTGAAAAAGCAGTACTGTTGAAGTTGCATATACATGTATGTAAATGCAAAGAAGAAGGATGCCTGCCTCGACTGAGGACTAATTGCTCTCTGTGTATGTATATGTCTGTGGTGTGTGTAGGACATATATTTAATTCTGTATATTTCTGAGTTGACCCTTTTTCAACAAAAGTGAAAATATATCGTTACCATGAATTATTTTATTTTGAAAATAATTTTGTTATTATTTAGTCTTAAGACTAATACTTGGTCTTACAAACATTCAAAAGATATGGAAAATATAAACATCAAACAAAAAGAACCATAAAATCCACTTTAGTCTTACCGTGTGGAGATAACCACCCTCTCATAACATTCTGTTTTTCTTGGGATTTAATTGGTCACATTTTTTTATCCTTGGCAATAAAAAAACCCTATTTGTTTTAATATCCCCTTTAAAACATCACTGGGATGATAAGTTTGAAAATATGCTTTCCCCATAATCGAAAACAAAAGATATAGGATTGTAATATTTTGACTATAGTTGTAAAGATTTTCCCTTAAAAATATCTTCAATTCTGCAATATATACTGGTTATTCTTTTGGAGGTAGAGTTGATCTTTTAATAATCATTTTCTGTATCTTTAAAACTTTCATAGTTAAATTGTGTTAACTTTTTTTGTTTGTTTGTTGGTACCAGGGATCGAACTCAGTTCCTTGCATTTGCCACGCAGGTGCCGGAACCAATGAGCTAAATCCCCGGCTAAATCATGTTAACTTTTAATGAGAAAAAACTATGAATGTTACGTAAAGCTGTTTGCTATTACATATTTATAGTTCAACCCCTTCCATCTTAGAAGAGAGGAGTAGAACATGGCTGCCATGAGCAGTTGTGGCTACAGGCCAGGCATTGCTGACATTGGCCAGGTGGCTAGTGTGGCATCGCATCCAGACGAATCTATACTTGGTGTTAAGTGTTTTCCAATTTCTCAGCAGGCAGGGCCCATCCTGGGAAGAAACTCAAGAAGAAGCTTTTGAAGTTTACAGGTTCGATGGGGCTTGACCTCTCCTGGGCAGCCCCCAACTTCAGGAGTTGCCCTGCTGATGAACAAAATGACTGCAGAGTTGAAAGAGGCCATGGCCCTAGCACCTTGGGGCCCAGTGAAAGTGAAAAAGGAGGAAGAGGATGAAAATTTCCTGAGTCAGGCATCCAGCCAACAAATGCATGCTGGGAACATCAAGGTCTGGGCCTCAGGAGAGGGTCCTCAGCCAGGCCTTGATTTATCAGAAGAGGAGAAAAAGGTAAGTGATGATCTGGGAGGAGAGACCGGAAGGCCTTAAGTAGTTTCCATGGGGCATCTGCTCCTCTGCTTCCAATCCCAGAGTCTGGATTTTTGGCTGGGGCTCTGTTTTTAGTCTTTGGGAATATAATAGAGATGGTCCTTTCTCATTGAAGGTTATTCCATACGTTCTGTGACTTGGTAGTTGTCAATCACTACTGTGCAGAACCCAGGAATTTTTATAAACTCTTGATGTTCATTCTGTGTACTCTTTTAACACAATCAAAATCTGGGAGTGAGCTGGGTGTGGTAGAGCACACCTATAGTCCTAGCACTTGGGAGGCTGAGACAGGGTCACTCGAGTTTGAGGCCAGCCTGCTCTACAGACTGACTTCAAGGTCAGCTTGAACTACATAGTAAAAACCTGTGTCAAAGACAGAACAAACAAAAATATGTGGGAGAACTTGATTTCTGTATTTTTAAAAGCTATTCAGATGGTTCCAGAGTCTGATAGCTGTAACCACTACTTCCCAAACCTTAATGTGCATAGGAATCAGCCCCAGGTCCTATTAAAACACTGATCTGATTCAGGCCTACGTTGTGCCCTGAGATGCTGCATTTCTCATAGCTCCTGGCTGCAGGCCACATGCCCCACAGTGAAGCTGTATCCTATGCCCTCTCTCCAGTGTTTTCCGACCTCACCCCTCGCCATGACCTTCCTAGGAGGGCATAGGTCCCCGGAGCTGCCTGTCAGAATGTGATCAGGGACTCACTTCTCTGATCGTTAAGGCTCAGCACTTTCCTGTGACCGATCCCATGTCTCCACTGGCAAGTTGAACTTGGACGCTGGAGTGAGCAGTGGGGTGAATTCATAGTGACAGGCTTGCTTCTGTGCTCAGCTCCACTGGGGGTTGCAGGAACTCTAGCTTCCTTTTCCTTTTTTAATCATTATTTTTTAATGTTTTGTAGGCTCCAGGATAGACACTATGTTCTCACCCTCCAAGCTGTCGCTACACCACCCTCTCCATCAGTCCCCTCATGAACCACCTTTGCCTGCTTGTCTCTAGGGTCACAACATGTTCTGGGACATGGCAATGGTACTAAAAGCAACACAGGAAGTGCCTGCTGCTACAACCCCTGGCAGCTGCTCCTTCCCGGGGACTCTGGCCAAGAGTGAGACGCTGGAGAATTATGGGGACCGGAACTTACGAGGTAAGGCTCAGATTCCTGATTCAGGCCCTGACCTGTGGGCCTGCTCACAATCTCTGGAAGTGTAGGTGGCATCTATTCCTTCGATGGAACAGCAGTATTGAGTTGTTGAAAGTGCTAGAGGAGCGCTGAGAGAGGCTGTGGGACAGGCACTGGAGATGGCTTGTTTCGCAGTCTCATGATATCAGATATAAACGAACTCTAAATTCATATTATTTTCTCCATGTGTGTATGTGAGTGTATGTTATTGCAGATAAAATTCAGGGGCTTTCTACCACTGAGCTACATCCTCAGCTTATTTTATTTTATTTTATTTTTGGTACTTGGGACCTTGTGCTCATGAGGCAAACAGCGGCACCACTGAGCTAAATCCCTGGCTCAGCTCATTATTTTTTTTATGTGTATGTGTGGCACTGGGCATTGAACCCAGGGTCAGGCACTGGGCTATGTCTTTAGCCCTTTTCTGTGATTCGAGACAGTCCTACTGAGTTGCCCAGATTGGGCTTGAAATTCCAATTCTCTTGCTTCAGCCTCCCAGAGTGCTGGGATCACTGGTGTATACAACCCTGCCCTGCCTCAGATTGACCTTTTAATTGTATTTATCACTCAGTGAGTTGTATACCTATGCACACTTGTAAACACGCATTCTTCATGTGCTTTGTGGTTATTATAGGTTGGTGAACCTGAAAGAGAAGCTAGCTTAGGACTGGGGGTTTAGCTCAGTGGTTCTGCTGCCTACCTTGCAAGTGCAAGGTCCAGAGTTCGATCCCTGGTACCAAAAAAAAAAAGAGAGAGAGAGAAGCTAGCTGAGGTAACAAAGGTCAGCTTTCATGGTGATTTTGAGGAGATGCCTGTGGAGATGTTCAATTGTCATGGATTGTTGTGAAAATTTGGGTTGTGTGAGCCATAAAAATGGTCAGAACTAGGTCTTTGTGGGCCTCTGGAGTGTGCTGGTTCATCACCTGGTTCCAAGATGCAGTTTGACAAAGGGTAGTGTGTACTAACCTTTTTTTCTTAATGTTAAGAAACAAATATCTTTAAAATATAAAGTTATTATGACCATTAGTGTAAACAAAAGTGTGGTTTAAAAATTGCTACTTCATATGGATCGGCTGTTCAAAAATGCAGAAATAAAAATTTCCAGCTGGTCATAATGGTGTATGCCTGAACATTCTGGGAGACTGAGGGAAGAGGATCACAAGTTCAAGGCCAGTCTCTACAAAGCAAATTAGAGGCTAACATGAAATACAGTGAGACCCTGTCTCAAAACAAACAACACCTGCTGTGGAGACACACCTGGAATCCCAGCACTCTGGGAGACTGAGGCAGGAGAATTGCAAAATCAGGCCCAGCCTGGTCAATTTAGCAGAATCCTGCCTCGAAATAAGAAATATAAAGAAGGGCTTGTGTTATAGTTCAGTGTCAGAGACTTGGGTTCAATCTCCTGTGCCCAAAAAATACCCAGGAGAAAAAAAAAAGACGCAGCTTTAATGAGTGTAAAAGAAAAGACACTTACGTAGCAAGATGTTGCCTTCATTTCTCAAAAGAAATGTCTTGATTGGCTGTGGCAGAAACCTGCTTGCAACTGTGGGTTTAGAGTTGGCAGCCTTGAGCCCTGGGTGGCAGAAACCATCCCTGGATGGCGGCCACCACCCCTTGTCGTACTGCTCTTTGGGAGTCTTGCCTCATGCAGGCCTACATCTGAACATTGTGTATCCACGCTTCTCCTTGACCAGCGCTTCCAGTGTCGGACCCAGGCACTGTGTGGAATCAGCACTGTGGGCCAGGCTCGGATCTCCCCTCATTTTCTAGTGTCATCATTATCTGTCCCCACACCCTAAGCAGCTTTGTTCCCTCTGTGTTCTGTTCCATTATCTCTGATGCATTCCCTCGTTGCTCACTTTTTCTGTCTCGTTTTATCAGCCATTCAGTCTTTGGCTCCCAGAGCTGCACCCATACATCAGGATCAGCCAGTCTTCCTTCTCCGCCTCCTCCCTCTGGACTCTGTTCCCACCCAAGCCCTCCCTTTCTGTGCAGCTGCCCATTCATTTCCGAGCAGCAGGTAATGCGGGAACAGCAACCTCTAGGAACTGGGAGATTTGAATGTAGCGATTGCCATGCCTCTGATAACTGTGACCTTGAGTAAGGTCCTTATTGGCCTGGATTTCTGTTTTCTGTTCTCAAAATTGAGTGCATTAATTCAATAAATACAGGGTTTGTTGGAGGCTTTCTGTGTGGGGGCAGTAGGAGAGGCTCGGGAGAAGTGAGTAACACAGAGTCTTGCCCTCTTAGTCCCCACACAATTGAAAGAGAATATATTCATCTTAGTAATAAAACCATGTACAGGTCGAGCTTCCCTATTCAGAAAATCCAGAGTGCTCCAGAATCTGAAACTTTGAGTACCAACTTGATGTCACGAGTAGAAAATTCACTCTGACACTCTGAATTCATGTGATGGTCATAATTAAAACATAGGAACATTACAATTACTGCAGGGGATGTATATGAGGCATAAATGAATTTTATGTTTAGACTTGGGTCCCATCCTCAGAATATCTCATTATTATTCTAAATATTCTAAAGTCTGAAAATAGAAAATTCTATTCCTAAGAATTTTAGATAAGAAACACTTGCCTTGGTTACTTTCTTGTTGCTGAGACAAAATACCCATCACCCAAAATTGAGAGGGAAGGTTTATTTAGCTCACAGTTTGTAGAGGCTTCAGTCCATAATCTGCTGGCTCCAAGGCAAACAGGCATCGCAGAGGAGAAACAGTTCATCCTGAGCAGAAGGTAACAAAGCAAGCAAGCACGGGTCCTTAGCATCATCCTTCTGTCCCTTTTAGATTCTCTCTAGGCTACCAGAATTGGCAAAGGGGCCAAACCGATCAGTGGACTGATTCAGCAATTACACATCCTTAATCTCAACCTCACACGCTCTAGATTCAGCCCCCTCTGAAAAAACCATCTATGGTCCATGAGTCTTTGGCGGACATCTAGACACAACTATAACAATACTTAATCTGTGATGTACATGAAAACACTTGGAAATTATGTTAATCAGTTTTAAATGACTCTCAAGGGCTTGTAATTATAATATCTTGTATTTTAATTAATGTTGAGTTTGTTAAAGTTTATACATTTAAAAACCAAGTCGGGCTGAGATTTAGCTCAGTGTACTGCTGCCTGGCTTGCAAGCACAAGGTCCCAAGTTTGATCTCTGGTGCAAAAAAAAAAAAAAAAACAACTTGGAAACCTTTAAATGTAACTGACCTTTCATCCATGTAGATAGAAATAGCTTCTATAACAGAACATTTGTACTTTTTTCTTAATTTATGTTCAATTAAGCCCCAAGTTTTATAGATTAAATTTTATAAACAGTTAACTCTGCCTTTATATCAAACTTGCTTCTATTAGGACCAGGGATTTACCTCAGTGGTGCCGTGCCTGTGTGGCAAGTGCAAGGTCCTGACTTCAATCCCTGGTACTGAAAAAAATTTTTCCTTCTCTTAAAAATAATGACATAGCAGGGATTTAGCTCTATGTTTATGCCACCTGCCTTGCAAGCGCAAGGACCCTAGTTTGATTCCTGGTACCAAAAAAAAAAAAATAATGACAAATTCAATAATTCTAATTCTTTAAAACATTATAAACAACTGCACAGACTTAAATCATATAAATAAACTTAATGAACGCACAGCTTTGGTAAAACTAACAACTTGAGTTGAGTAAATTATATTACCTTTCATATTGCAGCATGTATCTTAGCCAGCTAATACAGCCAGCCTACAAGGCATTTGATACTCTTTTTTTATTTTTTAAATTTTTTTTTTGGTACCGGGGATCGAACTGGGGCCCTTGCACTTGCAAGGCAGGCGGCGGAACCACTTAGCCAAATCCCTGGCCCTGATACTCTTTTTTTAATAAATGAAAGGAGCTATGGTGCAGCTCAGTGGTAGAGCATGTATTTAATGTGTAGGAGGTCCTGGATTCAATTCCTTGCACATACACATATGCACACACAATTACCAAAAAAAAAAAAAAAAAAAAAAAAAAAAAAAAAATCCCAGTGATACCAGAAGTAGGGTACGTGCCTTCAGGTTGATCCTATGTTAGTGCTACCAAAAAGGAAAAAGCCTATTTCAAACAAGCCTGGGTCCTGGGTACTGGCTGTGTACCACCCCCATACCCTTTTTTACTGACCTGTTCCAAGAGGTTGTTTCTCCTATAGGAAGAAACAAGCTGTAGCTTCCAGCTCCACTGCTCACTTCAGACCCGAGTAGTTTCTGGAGCTTGGTTGAATTTTCATACATTTTGTGTTCACTGGACCAATACCTGGCATCCCAGGTTCACCTCCCCTGGCCAAGCGTGGCAGTCTTGGAGAGGGAAGAAACATAAAGAACCGTGATGTTACTGACATCAGGACTCACACACACTGATGCCATTAGGAAGCTTCAGCCTTGCAACTGGAGAATAACCTGAGTTCTAACACTTCTTGTTGCTTCGGTATTTTCATGATGTTTTTTGGCAATGTGGAGCAGGCTGTGTCTTCATCCAGCACTCTGACACACTGCTAAGCTGTTTCCTTGATACTAAAGTCAGGGCTTAGTGTTCAGTTTCCTCTTTAATCACTTCTACTGCAGTTTCACCATAGCAACTCACATCCCCAAGGGTTCATCTTTCCTGTCTCTTCTCTCCTCCATCACCACCAGTCAGGCTAAAAGCACTGCAGACCCCAGAGTACTTCCTGTGTGCCATCCACTATTTTGAGCAGCTGACATGGAGTCACACCTTTAATTCACTCCCAGCCTTCTGAGGCAGTAGATATTATCCCCATTTCAGAGGTTAGGAAATGAGGCACAAAGAAGTAGCCCAAAGTTAGGCAGTTCATTAGTGGTAGAACAAGGATTTGAGGCCACCCCTGTGGCTCCAAAATCCATATTCTTAACCTCTGTGCCAGGCACCTTCTCAGTGTTTTAAGATGCTATTGGCATCCTTTCTGTCCGTGCTGATATGCTGTCTTTATACCCAGCTTCCTCAGACATAAATGCCTTATGGTCTTTGTTCATAGGTAGGGACTCTCCCTAATGAGTAGGTGGACTATAAATAGATCCACACTAATAGCTCAGGTAGGCAGGCAAACCACGGAAAAGGCAGTTCCTTAACTGGGCTTGGTGCAAGATCCATCATCAGATAACTGGGAGAGTGTGATCTGGAGATTGGCTTCCCTGGCATGAGGCTGACTGAGGATTGTGTCTGATAGAGGTAAGTGGAAAGCCAAAGAGACAAAAGAGTCAGTGCTCTCTGCCAGGTGTGGGCAGGGCACAGACCCTGCAGGAGAACCTTCAGGGTAGACATGATGTGAGATTTCTCCCTTTGATGAAGCCAGTGTGCAAAGGTGGTGAAGTCACATACTTCCTGACCTTTTGGACTTGACCCGGTTTCTTTTCTAGGCCACAGAAAGCTTAACATTTGTATTTTGTGTTTCTTGGTTTAGGCACTGAAAGCAAGAACCTACATTTACTTATTCCCAAAACTGAAATGTGTGAAGAAGCTGAAAAACACCTCATAATATCAGGAAGAATCCAAAAAGCTGACCCTCAGGGACCTGAGTTAGGAGAAACCTACGAAAAAGGAGACACGTTAAAAGGCCAGAGAATAAAGAGGGAAAGAAAAGACTTCAGACAAGTGACAGTGAAGGACTGTCACTTACCTGAAAGCTTCAAAGAAGAAGAAGACCAGAAATGTAAGAAATCTAGGGGAAGATTCAGCCTTGGTTCTGGCTCTGTTAAAAACCCCAAAATCCCACCTGGGCAAAAGCCTTTTACATGTAGTGTGTGTGGCAAGGGCTTCAGTCAGAGTGCAAACCTTGTTGTGCATCAGCGGATCCACACGGGGGAGAAGCCCTTTGAATGTCATGAGTGTGGGAAGGCCTTTATTCAGAGCGCAAACCTTGTTGTGCATCAGAGAATCCACACTGGACAGAAGCCATATGTGTGTGCAAAATGTGGGAAAGCTTTCACCCAGAGTTCTAATCTGACTGTCCACCAAAAGATCCACTCCTTAGAAAAAACCTTCAAGTGCAGTGAGTGTGAGAAAGCCTTCAGTTACAGCTCGCAACTCGCCAGGCACCAGAAGGTCCACATTACTGAAAAATGTTACGAGTGTAACGAATGCGGGAAAACATTCACGCGGAGCTCAAACCTTATTGTCCACCAGAGAATCCACACCGGGGAGAAGCCCTTTGCCTGTAATGACTGTGGCAAAGCCTTCACTCAGAGTGCGAATCTTATCGTACATCAGCGAAGCCATACTGGTGAGAAGCCATATGAGTGCAAAGAGTGTGGCAAAGCCTTTAGTTGCTTTTCACACCTTATCGTACACCAGAGAATCCACACCGCAGAGAAACCATATGACTGCAGCGAGTGTGGGAAAGCCTTCAGTCAGCTCTCTTGCCTTATTGTCCACCAGAGAATCCATAGTGGAGACCTTCCATATGTGTGTAACGAGTGTGGGAAGGCCTTCACGTGTAGCTCGTACCTACTTATTCACCAGAGAATCCACAATGGTGAAAAACCCTACACATGTCACGAGTGCGGCAAGGCCTTCAGGCAGAGGTCGAGCCTCACTGTGCACCAGAGGACCCACACTGGGGAGAAGCCCTACGAGTGTGAGAAGTGCGGTGCAGCTTTCATTTCTAACTCGCACCTCATGCGACACCACAGAACCCATCTTGTGGAGTGACCACCAAGGAAGATGAAGACCTCCGGCCATTGGTCGTCTCCTGCTAACCCCGAGTTAGATACCAGGTTGCCATTTTCTTCCAACATTACAAGAATGAGGCCTGTGTCCCTCAGAGGTTTAGCACAAACACAAGATAGTTATCTCAGAGGTTAAAGAATGGAAACTGAGTCCCTCGAGGCAAGGCAAGATCTTTGTTTTGACTTCCCTAAGCAGTTGTATTTTCTAATGGAATGTGGCTTTCTTAGGAATAGGTCATACAAAGCTAACTGATAAAAGAGCCTATTTGGGGAAAGGTCTTGTTTACTTACTCTTATTTTTTAAAACTAGTAATTGCTTGAGGCACAGCCAAATTGTCAGCCTGGTTGAATTCTGGAGATTTAAACCTTTTGATCTAATATTTCAGGTTGAGCGGTGGTTAGTAAAGGAAGCCACTGGGAGTAGCAGTTCAGCAACTCATCTGTGAACATTTACAAGCTTTCCATTTCCTAGGTAATTTTTAAGAAACCAATCAGAACAACCATCTGCTGCTCCTAAAGACAGAAATGGGAAACAGCCTTTCCCCTTATTATCTATACCTCCTGAACGTTGGGACTGTAACACTCTGGGGACCTCTGGCAAGTCTGACCGTTCCTCAGTCTGCTTGGCCGGGTGCTTGAGGGTTGGTGGAGGCACTGCATAACAGCTACATTGATTTGCTGAGGTTGGCGGCTCCCTCCCAACAGCTCCACTCCCCAGATACCCATCGCATTCCTTGGGTGAGCTGCAGCAGCCCCACAGCAGGATAGGGGAGTCAAAGAATAAAGCTTACCTGAGATGTGTCTGGCTTGTCTCTGCTCTCATTGTGCCCCAGCCCAGCCAGGATCTCAGGATGGGTTTCATTCTCGGATGCCGGGTGGTGTTTAGAAGAAATGGTGGAGCTTTTCTAATTCTGAGAGGACCGAAAATGGAAGTAAAAGGAAGGGAGGAGGTGGGTGGGATTCCTATGGTGTTAATTCGTCTGTTGCACAGTTTGTGAGTATTGGAACGTGAGGACTTTTACAAAGGTAAAGAAACTGGCTAAGGTAAGGTTTTTTTTTTCTAAACCAGTGAGCCGTTAATCCTAGAAAAGTAATTTATAAAACTATGCAGTAGGTAGTCCTGTGACGTTGCCTTGTTTTTATGTAGAACTTTCATGTGGTGAGCCACTTGGATAAAAAGTTGATACCTGACATCATCTCTTGCTTTGCCTTAGATCCTTACCTTCACCTTACGCCACAGAGGTGTGTTCTCATTTACTGGGGAGTGGTCCTGTAATGCAAGGCCAACTAACATATCAGCCTGTATCCACACCCAGGACCTGCTGTTCACTCAAACTCATCCCTATCCAGGCCTGTGGGGAAGTCGCGTTCAGGGGAGGAAGCTGAGGTGGGGATTTGCCTTGGGCAGTGTGCCTGGAAGCAGCAGATTTTTAACACTGGAATTTGGGTCTTCTGGTTTCTGGATTTGTCTTTTGTCCACTCCATTCCCATTGCTTAAGAATTGTCCTTCAGGTGATTTGTCCACATACTTAATAGAATATAGATAGCACTGTTACGTAACAGCAACCATCTATGAGAACTGTACTCTGTTCACAATTTTGAGTTCAAGTTTTTTCCCCCTTAAAATTTCAAAGTGGATACATACCATACCATGCTTTTATAAAACCTCCACCTCTACTTTTCAATATGCCCTTGGCCACAAGGGCTGCCAGAGGTTTCCCAGAGATGGGACTTAAAAGTAATCTTACAAGAAACCAACCAACAGGGAAATGGGAGTGAGTTGGCGGGAGTGGTGGTGAGGTATTTTAGGCACTGAGAGGAAGGTGTGGGCAAAGGCACAGGGAAAAGCAGCTTCATGCCTCTAGGCCGGTGGTGGTGAACTTACGGCATGGGAGCTGCAGCAGGCTGTTACCACCGAGAGCTCTGAGAGGTTTGTGATCACTGCTCAAGGCTGTAGAAAGTGCACTGGAGGTGCAAAGATGGGTGGAAAGGGATTACGAACTGCTCAGGGAATAGCATTAAGGAAGCCTGATGTTTTCCCTGTGAGATAAGATGAGCGCAACTGTTGGCTCAGCACTCTGGGCTGTAACACTAAGTGCATCACAAAGACTGCACCCGATTTTCATGGTGAATAAATGATACACAGGAAGCCTGAAGAGTCAAGGGTTGTGTCTGGGCAACACTTAGAGATACTGTAATCTGACCAGGTTTTGCAAATGTCACAGCTAATTATGTAGTGCAACCTTGTGTGGGAGTTCAGGCCCTAGAAGACGCATGGATTTTCTTCAGGAAGCCTGTAGGAGCCTACGAAAGAGCACAAAGGTACAAGGTCCAACGTGCTTTTCTCAGGGACAATGTCCACAACCTCCATTTCCCAAAGGGGCTGCAGATAGAAGAAGCTTAAGTTCAGTGAAAGAGGTGCTCACAAAAGCAGGAGGGTCAGCTTTGCCCAGCCACCTCTGGTGGAATCGAGCAATTGATGGTTGACAGAATAAATCTGTGTCAAGGGTGATGTCTTTCTTCTGTGCTCCAAAAGCACCAGTGTACCACTTCAAGAGTGTGTACACTGTTATCTTCTTAGAGAATAGAGCTGAGTTTACGTAAACAGCAAGGGTTTATCACTTGGATGAGTAATAAATATTTCCAATATGTTTCATATAACTTGTTTTGGTGAAAAGCAGATTTTTTCAGTAATATCTAACAGGTCAGGGAAATACACCTTTGTGGACAATTATTTCCTGCATTGTGGCTAACCACTAGCAGTTTGAACTCACCTAAAGATAAAACATTAAGACCTGCAGGCTCTAATCTAGGGAAGGAAAGAGAATTTTACATCAATTTTGGTTCTTGTATATATGAAATACATATATGGAGTTCATATAATTGTTGGAATATGAACTCATTACTATCTAGCAAATTTTGTATGATGCTGGAGACGCTGAATTTGAATCAATCTCTGTCTTTGTCTCTCTGCACTGCCCCTGCTCCCCACCCACTGGAATCCTCAGCATTTTCATTATTTTAACGATCTATTTGTATTTTTTTTCTTTCTTTTTTTTTGGTACCAGGGATTGAACCCGGGTCCTTGTGCTTGCAAGGCAGGCCACCGAACCACTGAGCTAAATCCCGGCCCTATCTATTTGTATTTAGAGGTGAATCTCTAATTGTGTCAGAATGAGCAATGAAAGAAAACATTATGCTAGAAAACAAAATTCTGAGTTCAGGCGTGGTGGTGCATGACTGTGATTCCAGCACTCAGGAGACTGAGGCAGGAGGCTCTCTGTGAGTTTGACCCCAGCCTGGGCTACATGGTGAGTTTAAGGCCAGACTGGACTACATAATGGGACTCTTCTCCATCCAAAATTTCTGATGATGGTGGCTTAGTCATTCACCAAATATCTGTAACATTCTGTGTTATACTTGTTGGGAAGATGATACAGACAAGACAGACTCGGCCTCTACCTTTATAAAGCTTATATTCATTCTTTTGAGGATGATAGCAGGTCTACAGTTTGGTAGGAGTGTGCCAGCTAAGTGTTCCTTCATTTCAGGTATGCAGAGAGCCTGTTTTCTGGATTTCATCTATGACATCTGAATTTTTACCCACTTATACAAAATGCAAGCTGGGAATGGTGGTGTATACCTGAAATCCCAGCGCTCTGTGAACCTGAGGCAGGAAGATCACAAGTTATAGCCCAGCCTGGGAAATTTAGTGATTAAGACTCTCTCTGAAAATAAAAGGGTAGGATACAGTTCAGTGTGAATGCTGGACCCCAGGCTTCAATCCTCAGTGACACACAGACACACCCACACACACCCTTTTGTATGTAATTAATGCATGCAATAAATATTTTTTGACTAACTTCTCTTCGAGACACTGGGGTAAGCAATAGCTTGACACAGCTGGAGTTTTACAGAGGTGGGTTGAGGCCTTGACAGTTCCCCTCAGATGGAATGTTCCTCGTGTACATTTACATCATGATGTTCTTATGCACGTGTGCGTTTATGGGCCACCTTGACAAGAAACCGAGTGGAGCTTGAATTGCTCCTAAGGACTGGTAATGGAACGGGAAGCATGGACACGGTCAAGGCGATCCCACGAGGATTGGCTCTGGGTTTTGAAGAACCAGTCTGAACGGGATGGGTGAGGTCAGGGAAGGTAGGCAGAGGAGATGGGGACTATTTCAGAAGGCAAGTACTGGATAAAGGATCGGGGGTTGGAAAGAGGTTAGGAATTTCTGGGCACCAATGGGAATTCTGTACCGTTAAGCAAATACGTACACCAGACTAGCTGAGTAGCTGATGCTGTTGGTGAGGTCACTACGTGGGTCCAGATTCAGTTTGTCCTTTATTCTAACATGATGGGATCACTCGCAGATCTTGCCTGCAGTGCTCGGGGTGGGGCAGGCTAGGCAGGCGCTCCGCCACTGAGCCACACACCCCAGTCGTTGGAGGGCTATTTCAGCTGGTGGAATATATTGTTTAAGGTAGTTACTGGCTTCACCCCTCATCTTTTCCAACCCTAAAGCCTCCCCCTCTAGTTTTCCTGACGCAAGTGTCCGAGGCGAGTGGAATCCCCGCCCAACTCCAAACTCCAAATCCTAGCAATCCAGGCCACCGGCACTCTTATTTTCAGACAGGGTCTCGCTAGGGTGACCCAAGCTGGGCTGAAATGTGTAATCCTCCTGCCTCAGCTTCCTGAGTAGTAAGGATCGCAGGAGTGCGCCACTGCGCTCGGCTTCCAATGTAGTCCTTTATATGAAACCGTGAAAGTAGCCAGCAGTGGAGAGAAGAGGGCCGGGTTTGGGTATTCGCTTGAAACAACTCACACGTTCGTCCGCAGCACCATAGAGATGCTCCTCCCGCTTCCTAGAGAGGGAGCCGAGGGTCGCGCCGGGGTTTGTGACGCACTATCGGCCGCGCTACCGGACTTCCGGTCCCAGAGACAACTGAGTCCTGGACTTCCGCACAGCTCTGGAATCTCAGGCACCAACCGCCGCGGGACCCAGAACTTCACGGTGAGCCGGCGGGGCGCGGGAAGCCAAAGGAGCCTGGCTGGGTAGCTGGTTGAAAGCTGATGTAGGAAGTCTTCTCCGGCCTCATCCCCCGCATTTCTGCTTGTCCCTGCCGCCCTAACCTGGGCGCCGCCGGCCACCCCTCCGAGCCAATCATGTAGCCTCAGCTCTGCACATCGGCAGCCCAGCGTCGTGTCTGGCACAGAGGCGGCGCCTAGGAAGATGTGGAGGGAAAGGGTGAATGAATAAAGAATTGAGTAGAGGAACGGGTTATCCTAAGCTACTACCGTATCCGGAACAACGCTTGGGACTTAGAATTCTTAGATCAGTTTCCAGGCCCTAAACCCGGCTGTCTGAAAGCTCAGCGACTTATCGAGGGACCGTTTTCTTCGTGTAAAACTCCCCGAGTGGGAAATCTCGAGGCCTAGGTTATAATTCAGGAGGGTACAGAGCTTGTTTCTTGTTCCCTGAAGTTGGACTACCTCCTAGTCTGTGCCTTGTTTTCTGTATAGGCTTCGTTGACACTACTTATGTGATCACTTATAAATGCGAAACATTAATTTCTTCCAAGGATATGCTAACGTCCATTGTGCACCAAACATTTAACATAGTTAAGGGCAAAGCCGCGTATAGCACCAGTGTGCAAAAGGGAAGATGTGTACATGAGCAGGTGTTGGAGATAATTTTTAAACTACATTTAATGAGCACTTATTGTGTATCACCAGTGTTTGAAGTGGTTGTGCTAATTTGTATAATTTCACAATAGCACATCTAATTTTTCAGTGAAGAAACAAGGTATAGAGAATAGGGCACATTGCTATTAACTTACTCAAGGCTGAAGAAAATATAGATGCAATGTGGTACTACAGCCTGAGTGTATTATAAACCAGGAATGGCCTCAGAGACTGGTACATTTCAGTGTGGTCTTCATGAGTGACTTCAACTACATGAAAACCCCCACCTAACTTGTCTTTGCGGGGTAAGAAGGTGGCAGTGGGGAGACAATTTACAGGAAGTGAGAAGGAAGCTATTAGGTCACCAAGATGAGGCTATTAAAATCTTCTTTCTTTTTTGTCCATCACCACAATATCTGGCAGGTATTTTAATATCAGCAGGTAGATTTTTGGCATCTTAAAATCACTCATAGTCAAGTTATTCCATATTAGGCACTGGTGGAGGAGCTTATGCATTCCTTGGGGAGCATATAGACCTGGGGTTAGCAAACTATGGCCCTTTGATGAAATTTGGCCCATTACTTTTTTAAAGAAAAACTGTCTTACTGTAACAGTCAAACTTACTCAATTATACATCGTATGTTTTCAGATTACAAAGAGAAAGTTGAATAGTTCCAACAAAAAGAAAGATCTTTTAGCCCATGAAATCTAAAATGTTTACTTTCTTTACAGAAAATGTGTGTGTCTCCTTCTCATAGAGGAACTGTTGATAGATGGTTTATGATTTTGCCCTTCTCTGGGAAGCCACTTTTCTCTGATGAAGTTATATAACTTAATTGCTAGGTTAGAGAGTAAGGACATTTTTGGAGGGAGTTTTTTTTTGTTGGTTTTTTTTTTTTTTTTTGGTACCGGGGATCGAACTCCAGACCTTGCGCTTGTGAGGCAGGTGGTGGAACCACTGAGCTAAATCTCCGGCCCCAGAGTAAGGACATTTTTGGAGGGAGTTTTTTTTTGTTGGTTTTTTTTTTTTTTTTTGGTACCGGGGATCGAACTCCAGACCTTGCGCTTGTGAGGCAGGTGGTGGAACCACTGAGCTAAATCTCCGGCCCCAGAGTAAGGACATTTTTAAGGATGTTCTCCCACGATTTCAGTAACTCTTCCATGTCATAAGCTCTAGGGGTCTGGGGATATACTTCAGTGTTAGTTTTCTTAATGTGTCCAAGCCCATGGGTTTGATCCCTAACATTGAAAAATAAAGACAAATACCACCGTAAAACCCTGTAAATGTATTCTTAGCCCACATGCCTCGTGTCTATTCCAGATACAGATGCCTTTTTGTTCACACATTCCAAAACTCAATGTAACTTCTTCCTCTCCAGACCAGTGTTCTTCCCTAACTGTAGGTCACTATCATCAGACAAACCCACAACTGGCCAGTTACCTTTCATTTGTCCCTCTCTGTTATGTGCTGTGCACTTGCTTCTCCTAGGCCTCATCCAGGCTTGGTGATTCTACCTGGAGTTGTCTCCTCCCCTTCCTGGACTGCCCACACCACCACCTGGGGGTCCCCCTCGCTTCACCCTCAAACACACTGTGCTGTGGGCAGAGGGAAGGGTGTTGGTAAACAGAAGACCAGATCATGTCAGAGTTCGATGAGATCTCCAGTCCTTGTGTAACTTTCTACTTACATTAAAGTGAAGGCATTCACATGATTTGCAGGTTCTGTGGGTTTGACCTTCATACGCTCTTGGGCTCTGTGTCTTACACTTTGGCCTTGCTAAGGCCCCGTTATTTTACAGTGCTGAGCTTCATTCTTTTTGCGTTTTCTGATCAACTTGGGTATAATTTCCTTTTTTTCATCTGTCTAGTTCTACTTTATCTCTTCTTCGGTGAAACTTGATTTTCTAGACAAGATTAGGTTCCCTCTGCTCCACATGCTTGGCACCCTATACTTCCTCTTTTATAATCTCCATCTTTGAAAGTCTGGCCAGTTAGGATGTAGGTTGTGGGCTGTCAGGAGCATTGTCTGACTTTACGCCCAGTTTCTGGCAGTGGCTGCACTCAAACCCCATCTGCTGCTTGCTTCTGGGATTCTGTGACCGCTGATAGGTCCCCTTTGTGCTGCTCCTGTGAAAATGGACTGGGAGGACTGGACAGCATCTCCACGAACATCCAAAACTCAGCAGACAGGCAAAGGCCAGGATGAGAGGCACTCAGGACCCACCAGATATATTTCAGCAGGTGCTTCTTGTTCCTCAGCCTTTGAGGCCTTACCCCGGGTAAACCCTGTCTTTCCTTTTCCTTGCAGTAATGTGGCTCGTTGCGCTTCTCACCTCTGAATTGTACAGAGAAATATTTTGGAATGAACAGTTGCTATTTTGGCATTTCAAACAGCAGACTATGAAGAAATTCTCTTTTGTAAATTTTTGTAAGTTAAAAAGTGTTTGTTTTCAACACAGCCTCATATTGAGCAAAACAATGTAATTGATACAACGTCAAGAAGAAAGGACAATCAGTATGGCTGTATTTTGTATCAAATAGAGAGGTCCCCTAGGTGTAATCCTGGCTAGAAGTGATTGCAGCCTTCCAGTGAGGCCATTCTCCCATGCAGCTTTCAGTATAACTGACTGGTTTTCACTATACGTTGTCCAGGGTGCACTAACTGACACGGATATTCCTATGCATTTCATCGTTATTCTAAATTAAAAATAGTCGGATGAATTTATCAAGTGATTGTTGGAAAGTATGTCTGTGTGAGCCTGCCATTTCTTACACAGCTGAAAAATGGGGTTTGTGAACTTAGGGGTTGCGTTTCAGTCCTGATGTTTGCTGACAAAATAATGTTGCTATCATGAGAGGTACTGTGTAAAATACTAGATCATATTGCTAAACCTTTTCGCATTCTTCCATTTCCTAGGAAAGTAATCTCCCCTCCACCTTTCCCCTCTGATCAGGGTTTGTGGCTTTGTAGATCTGAAGTATTTTCCAATCAAAGCAAAGAGAAGATTTGTGGATGTTGAAAATGCAAGGAGCTGAAGCCAGAGTGACTGAAAGGGAGACTTTCCAAGGTGAGTGAGCAGGGGCGTCTGCGGGAGAAGCAGCCAGCTTTCAGAGTTTCAGAAGATGAAATCTCCAGACTCCTAAAAGGGCGTAGGGGACAATTGTGGGTGAGCATTTCTGGGGCCAGCTTCTCCCCCAGCACTTACTGTACCCGTCTTCCAAACTTGCCTTTTTCCATTCTCCCATGCTCTACTCTTTGTATACAAACCATTGCTGTTACCTCTTCTACCCTGATGTTAGCCTGGGTGTCTGTTGTTTTCCATTTAATGCCATTGTTGTGATCCTCTCATTTCTGAGTATCTGTTGCTGCCCCTTCTGGGGAGCCTCCTTATCCTGGAGATTCATTTCCCTAGTGGAGATCTCTCCCCACTTGGAAGTCTGAAGTAGTTGCTGTGCTTGCTTTTGTTGGTCCTTACTCATTTGCCGTTACTCAGACCTTTGAAAGCTATGGTGCTATATAGTTCAGGTCCTTTACTAGGCCTGCATAAGAGATTTACTCTGATGGTTTCTTTCAGATTGGAGGAACAAGACTGTTCTAGAACATGATGTATGTGAAAATAATTCACCACAGATCATAGCAAAGAGATTCCAAGAAGACGAATACCAGGATTCTACATCTGAAGGAAAGCACGGCTGTGAGGGCACGAAGGAGAACTCTCCCGGAGAGGTTCCCGGGCCGTGCCTTTTTCAGAAGGGCGGCTTCGGGGGAATAACCTTCATCCACAAAGATGCATGTCCCGAAATGATCAGTCAGGAGTATAATATCACTAAGAGCTTCCTTTTGACCTCAAGCCTTGTTACACATCTCAGGGTGTCTACGGAGGAGAGCCTGCACCAGTGGGAAGCAGGTGACGTACACGCCAGTGAGATTTCCAGCCAAAGTAAATGTGTGACTTTTTCCACTCAGAAAAAAGCTTGGAAGTGTCATGAGTGTGGGAAGAGCTTTACTCAGAGCTCATCCCTTACCCAGCACCAGAAGACTCACACTGGAGAGCGGCCCTATGCGTGTGCAGAATGTGGGAGAGCATTTAGTCGCAGTTCATTTCTAGTTCAGCATCAAAGAATTCACACTGGAGTGAAACCACATGAGTGTGAGCAGTGTGGGAAAACATTTCGATGCCGATCATTTCTCACTCGGCATCAGCGAATCCACACCGGGGAGAAGCCTTACAAGTGTGTCGAGTGTGGGAATTCTTTCCGCAGCCATTCGTATCTCACCGAACACCAGAGAATTCACAGTGGAGAGAAGCCCTTTAAATGTGATAGATGTGCAAAGGCGTTCCACCAGAACACACACCTTGTTCACCACCAGAGAATTCACTCTGGGGAAAAGCCTTATTTGTGCAACGACTGTGGCTCTTCTTTTCGCAAGCACTCAAACCTTACCCAGCATCAGAGAATTCACACTGGGGAAAAACCTCATCAGTGTGATGAATGTGGGAAAACCTTCCAAACAAAGGCAAACCTGTCTCAGCATCAGAGGATTCATACTGGAGAGAAGCCCTACAAGTGTAAGGAATGTGGCAAGGCCTTCTGTCAGAGCCCATCTCTTATTAAACACCAGCGAATTCACACTGGTGAAAAACCTTATAAGTGTAAAGAATGTGGCAAAGCTTTTACCCAGAGCACCCCGCTCACAAAGCATCAGAGAATCCACACTGGGGAGAGGCCCTACAAGTGCAGCGAATGTGGCAAAGCATTCATTCAGAGCATTTGCCTCATTCGCCACCAAAGAAGTCACACTGGAGAAAAACCCTACAAATGCAACGAATGTGGAAAGGGCTTCAACCAAAATACCTGCCTCACGCAACATATGAGGATTCATACTGGAGAGAAGCCCTATACGTGTAAGGAATGTGGGAAAGCCTTTGCACATAGCTCTTCTCTTACTGAACATCACAGGACTCACACTGGTGAGAAGCTGTATAAATGTAGTGAGTGTGAGAAAACTTTCCGCAAGTACGCGCACCTGAGTGAACACTATAGAATTCACACTGGTGAGAAGCCTTATGAATGCATTGAATGTGGAAAGTTCTTCAGACACAGTTCCGTCCTTTTCAGACACCAGAAACTGCACAGTGGTGAATGATTCTGACACACAGGTTGTGACAGTTTCTCTTGAGATGGTGACTAGTAACCTGGCTGGGAGGAGAGGCCGGGAGAAGGATGAAGGACGCTTGGCTGCTCCGTTCTGAGGGGTACTGCAGAAATGGGGGTGGGACTTGGGTAATAGGACCAAGTCCAAGTGGATACCTGGGAATAGGGGACAGAAAGGAAATTCCAACTTTGACATAAGATTTGGGCCACCAGCCCTCCCTCTCCATGACTCAAGGCATGTGTGCCTCTCCCAAACTCCTAACCACTTCTCTGACCTTGTCACCTGTATGCATTGGCTTGGGGGGATTGATTTCCAAACATTGTGCAGGTGGCAGCAGTTCTGATGCAGGATTTCGCTTGAGGGTAGCTTCCAGATGCTTATGGCTTCCTGCACATACCCATGTGGGAAGGCTCTGACCTGGAAAGTGGTCCTGTGAAAGAGAGAAAGAAGTGAAAAAAATAATATGTATTTATTCATTGAACAAGGGGATAGTGGCAAGACCCAGCTTGCTCTTTATCGATTCCTTGTAGTGAGGAAGGCTTGTGTCAGGGTGAGGGAAACCTTTCTGGTCCTTGGAATCTTATGGGTCAGTTGGGCTAAGAAGGAAGTAGGAGATCAAGTATTTGCTATTTCCTGGGAAGGCAGAACTGTCTGTAGATGGGACAGGGAGGAAATCCTAGCTTATGTCAGAGAAGAACACTTACCCAGAGAAGAAATGGTCTCTGGGAGATGGCTAGTGATAGAGAAGAGGCATCAGAGCTGAGAACCTGCATGTGACTGCAGGCCACATAGGAAAACAAAACTTTGCTGTGGCTTCAGGTGTACACAATAACTTGAAGCTTGGTTCACAGAGACCAGGGGAGAGTGTCCTGCCTAAACTAACAGTATCCCAACAAAAAGTGACGTAAGGGATTTAGCTCAGTGGCCCTGCACTTGCATCACAAGCACAAGGTCCGGAGTTCAATCCCCACTACCAAAAAGGACTTACTGGCTTTCAAGTGAAAACAGTGATGAAGGAGGACAGCTTATTAGGCTGCCTAGAATTTGGGGACTGTGGGGTTAGTCCGTAATAAAGTGTTAACATTTGTCATGGAATTATGGGGCAAAATGTTCTTAAGAAAATCACCTTTGTCAAGTTTCCAAAAATTAAGATATCACAGGTTGCTACTGACTGATCATATTTTATTTTGAGAAAAATGATAGTTTCTAAATTTCCCCAGCCCCTTTTACCTTCCAGAAGCTGAACTGCAGAAGTGAGGATAGCTTTTGACCAGTGCAGTGGTGCCTTGGTTCCCAAACTTAACTTGTCCTACACTTTTGGAAAAGGTTGCCATATTTGTATTCGTGTGGGAAAAGTGGCCACCGTTGTATTTGTCACCTAATGCAGATTTTTCAAGCAAAAGAAATTTTGTGTTTCTGTCTGCAAACCAAATTGTTTACAAACAAGCATTCAGGAACCAACATACCACTATATTTGGCATAGTTTCTAAGCTCTGAAGCATAGTTTTAAAATAGGTCTTTAAAAACAACTAAAATAAGTTCATTCTAGAACACCTGGTTATTTGTAACCCAGCACTTATTTTTCCTGCACATTTGTCCTCTGTTGGTTTGGGCCCATAGCGATGACTCATGGGAATGTAGAAATAATGGATTTGCTTTCCCTTCTCTAGCACGAGGATGCTGTTCTTAAAACCTGCCACAGAGGAGTTCGTAATTGAGGAAATTAATACCTTACTGACAGAAATGACCCTAGGATATCTTCCTATTTTATATTCATGAAAATACACTGTCAATAGGTTTATATATCCTAAATGAAAATAACACTACAGAATTTCTGGCACAAAGCAAATGTTCAGTAAATATTTGGTGAATTAATATATTTCAAATCTCTGCCTACTAAAAGGACTTCCTGATGTGTAGGTATTGAGTGTATATTTGCACAATACTATTTTTGAAATCTCACATGGAGAAAATGGAGTTTCCTCGAGAAATAGGAAAAATTTAAAGGTGAAAGACACCTAATAAGTACTTGTGAAAATGCTTTCCTAAAATTGAGTGAACATGACCCTGCATATTTAATCCTCACACCGGAAATATCTGGCACATTTTTACTTCATGCGCAGAGAGGAAGTAAAGATCTCATCTTCCCTGCCCGCACCCAATGTTCTGTCACCTGGCCGCTTCTGCTTTTTCTTCTGTTGCTGGCTGTGAGCACCCAGCCATTCCGGTGTGGCCTTTCCCCCAGGAATTGCGTGGCCCTGCCGCCCTCCCCCCACTCAGTTTCAGAGCCAACCAACCACAATCATGACGCCAGCTTCATGCCTGTTGCTTTGGTAAAACCCTTGCTTCCTGCACTGTTTCTGATTTTTCTAATGGTCTCCCAATTTCTTGTCCCACTAAGTTTTTTAATATTTCTTCTGGATGATCTTTGTAAGCATAACTGGAAGCTTATTTATTTTACCTTAGAATAAAGTCCTACCCCTCCAAAGGGACATGAGAGTCCCTCATCAGGCCCATGCCACCATCTTGTCCTCAGTTGCCAGTCCTTGCTCAGCTGTTCTGTTTTACAGTGCATGTTCTGCAATTCTCTAGTGTTTGAACTCTGACTTTTTTTTTTTTTGGTTTTTGAGACAGGGTCTCACTAGGTAGTTGAGAATGACCTGGAACTCACTATGTAGCCCAGGCTGGGCTCCAACTCACAGCAATCATCCTGCCTCAGCCTCCCGAGTGCTGGGATTACAGGTGTGCGCCACCACACCCGGCTCCGAACTCTGACATTTTTGCACATACAGTTCCTATGGTCCTTCTTCCTTGTTTCTGCTGGCCTCAACAGCTTCCAGTTGTCACTTCTGAATGTGCTCAGCTAACATTTACTTTTTTTTTTTTTTTTTTCATTTGAAAACGGTCTTGCTTTGTAGCCCAGGCTGGCCTTCAACTCAGGCACTCCTCCTGCCTCAGCCTCTTGAGTTCTGGAATTACAGGCCTGCTGTACTACCCTTGGCAACATCAACATTTTAAAGCTGTGTCTGACCTCAGTTTTATTCTGTGTGTGTGTGATCTGGTACTTGGGATTGAATTCAGGGCCTTAGAGCTATGTCCTCATCCCACCTTCCCCTTTTTTGGAGACAGAACCTTGCTGTGTTGACAGGCTGGATTCTACCTTGTGATACTTCTGCCTCATCCTGAGTCCTGGGATTATAGGCATCTGCCACCATGCCTGGTTTATGTATGGTATTTTCATCCTTTTGTGTTACACCATGTTTTATATACAACTCTTTCTCTTCCAGTGACCTATCAGAGATGAATGTGGGCAAGAGCAGTGTGATACGCATCTTTGCATCCACAATGCCTGGCACTTAGAAGGTTCTCAGTATTTGTGGAAGTAAACTAAAATATTGAAGCATACTGCTCCGTGCCAACCTGTGAGTTGTGTTTTAGGTCCCCAGTTGTTAGCAGAAAGAAGATATGGTGATTGTGTGTGTGTGTCTGAAGTATTTGACAGAAGCAAACACCGAACTACTCTCCAAGACTTACTGTGTGGTTGTATTAGAGAATTCCATAAGAAAAAGTAGTTTTAGGAAAAGGAGCCTATTACAAATTAGCCAAAGTCCCATCGAAAGAGGAAAGAAAATATGCCTTAAGGAACACATTTTTTTTTGTCAATTGTAATTTCCATGAAATAGGAACTTGGCAGGATGACAAACTCCTGTAATCCAGCAGCTCAGCAGGATGGCGCAGGACAATTGAAAGTTGAAGGCCAGCTGGGCTATTCTGTTGGTTTGGGGGCGGGTACCGGGGTCCTTACGCTTGCAAGGCAGGCCACCGAGCCACTGAGCTAAATCCCCGGCCCCAGCTGGGCTGTTCTGAAACCCTGACATAAGGACCTTGGATATAGCTTAGTAATAGAGTGCTTGTGTACCATTCACATGGCCCTGGGTTCAATCCCTCGTAGCAGTAAAATAAATAGACACAGAGAGAGAGGGAGAGATTCAGAGAGAGATACAGAGCAGAGCCGGCCTGGCAGGAGAGTGTGCCGAGGGCCCAGAGTGTGAACACTTCTGGAGCTTTTGGCCTCTGATAAAGAACTGGATTGTTTGCCTTTTTATTGTTTTTCTTTTAGACAATATTTCACTATGTAGTTCAGTCAGACCTTGGACTCACTGTGTAGCCCAAGCTGGAACTGAACCCTCAGGAATACTTCTGATTGCTGAGATTACAGCTGTGTGCCGCCACTCCCAGCCATCTTGCTTACTCTCAAAATTTAACGACTTTCAAAGGACACCGTGGGATTTGGCCAAGGCCACGTGACCGTCAGGGTCCTGAAGTTTGAACTGAGAGCCCCTGGCTTTTCATTCTCGCCTCGGCTCTCTTTACCTCTGTGGAATTGCCACTTGAGGCTCTAGCCTTTCATCAGGAGGGTGGGCGGCGCTCACTTTATAAGATAAATGCGTTTTGCCCTCAGAATCTGACTCTCCGGGTGAGTTGAGCACAAGGTTTTGCATTTGACCTCTTCCCTTATTTCCCAGAATCTTAACCTAGACCCTCGGCAGCACCGGCTTTGCTTCCCTCGTCGGCTGCACGGCCAAGGCCACTTTTGTTATGCAGTGTTTTAGGCGTCAGTCCCTGCTAGTCATGTTCTACTTCCTTGAAACTAGCCCAGCCTAAAGTGCTTTAAATCCTAGATGACTGTTCATTCCAGGCTGAAGGTCCACAGAACTGTGATTCAGAAATACTTTGAAGCCTAAAAGGACGAGAAAAAATAACGAGACGTGTGTCCTCTGGCCTGCAGAATGTTAGAACTACAGGAAGAAATTCCTGCTGCGGAAGAAGCGCTGAGAACGGGACGCGGTGAACGGTAGGCGCGCTTGGCGCTGCCCCGCGGCCGGTCACCGGCGGCTCCTAGCGGAAGGTGGTTCCCGGTGGCCCGTCGGTGGCACATCGCCGGCTGACTCTATTCTCTTCCTCCAGGAAAACGAGCCCCTCTGGACCGCCCGCAACGCCTGGCGTTTTTCACTTATTCACTGAGCGAC